CCCCTCGCCGACCCCACCCCCTGGTGTTTACATCCTTGGATAGTCCTTTCCCACAGTGTGTCAGGTTGCCGATTCTATCCACAGGATATTAGTGATGGTACATCACTTTTGGGCCAGACTACGACAGACATTGTGGCTTCTGCCTCTCTCTCTCTCTCTCTCTGTCTCTGTCTGTCTGTATCTCTCCCTCTCTGTCTCTGTGTCTGTGTCTCTCTCTCAGATTGCTTGCCCTGAGGGAAGCTAGTTGCCATGTTGAGAGGCCCACGTGGCAAGGAATGGAGGCCTGGGAAGAGCCATGTGAGGGAGCTGTCCTGGATGCAGATCCACAGCCCTGATCGAGCCTTGAGATGACTGCGCTTGTGGCTGAGAGTCAAAGTGCAGCCTCGTGAGAGACTCTGAGCCGCAACCACCCAGCCGAGCTGGTCCTGACTCTCAGAAATGGTGCGAGGTAATAAATACGTGTTGTTTTAAGCCACTAAATTATGCGTAATTTGCATGCAGCAATAATTAACTACAAAAACACTGGCAAAAGTTGTGACTACCAATTTCAGTAAGAACTGAATTCGAGAAGGACAGCTGGTACCACTGTTTTGACAGGTGCATAAGCCATTTGCTGGACACTCCTGAGGTTTTGGACCTCAGCCTATTATTAGAAGATCTGATACAGGAGTAACACGGTTAATTTAGAAGGAAACAAAATATGAAAATGGCAGCCCTTCCTCTGGGATGTCCTTTTCACCACAACTACTTTCATCCTTCATGTGGATGAGGCCCCTTCACTGAGTCCCTCCTGCTGCAGCTCTGGAGTCTCTGAAGAGGTGAGCGGTGGCAGTGTCAGCACATCCCCCATCAGTTTAATTTGATTGTCACTTCCTGTGTTATGTCACCTTTCTTTCTTTGCTGCAATTTCAACTTTGCTGGCCAGTTCCTTCTTTCAGGGACCCAAGTTTTGTAACATGTCTTGTGGGTTCATGTGTCAGAGAACCTGACACACACCTATCCTTTGACTGCTGACAGCTTTCAAGCCCACCTCCCCTTCCCTTCTGCCCCCCATCTGGACAGCTCATAGGAAAGCCCAGCGGCTTCCTCCTCTGGCTCTGAAGGAAGATACTGGGGCCTTGTCCTTCCTGCCGATTATATTTCAAAGGAATGGCTCTCCTTGGGAAAGACATTTCTGCATATATATATATGTGTGTGCATATATATATATGAATATATACATGTGTGTCTATATATGTACACACACCTCAAAGGAACAGAGTAAGGATCAGGAGTATGTCCTCCAGGCAGCACAGAGCCTTCTCAGGCAGGCATTCTAACGGGAGGTGGAGTCATCTGAGGGGCACAGGCTTATGCCGCTGGAAGCCATGCCAGGATTTGTCTCTCTGTCAGAGTTGAAATGTGTATTGTGCCAAGAGTTCTGCAGCTCTCGGTAACCACAACAGTCTATCACTGGGAGACAGGAAGCCCGCACAACCACACATCTTGCTGTCTCTGCGTGAATTAAATAACAGAGTTACGGTGACCAATCCCCAAGAGACCTTGAAGGAAGTGATGTGAGCGAATCATGATGTGCATCTGCTATTGAGGTAGTGATGCGTAGACTGGAGAGCCTGTGGCCAAGTTTGTACCTGATGCATTACTCATGGTTAACATACTGTGGTAAGTGAAGTTTGAATTATGTTGTTGGGGGACTGCTGTTATTTTACTAAACCGTGGAGACAGAAGTTCATACACGTGAGAACCGTGGAAAGCAAGGGCTGCCTGCCGAGTGCAGCACTGTCACACTTTATGGGAGTATAAATCCTGCAAATTTGAATAATGTTAATAAATATTTGCCAGTTGTACATCACACACAAAGTTTGAAATAATTCAATTCTCTTAATATTTTAAGACATTGTCAGTGACAGTAAATTGGGGGCAGTGTCTGTTACTACTGTATAAGAGTCCCTACTCACTGGCACACAAAATTTAACTCCACCAGTTGTCGGTTTCCTATAAATGCTTTCTATGTGCTTTGAAACTTTTGTGAAAGATCTGCTGACTTGCGCTATTTTAATATTCAGCATTGTTAAAAGTCAGTCTTTTTTTTTGACTATGTAACCCAAGTTTTCATCTAGCATGGTGTTGATGCTTGTGTTGTAAAAGATGCCTGAAAATCGGTAACTCTGGAATACAATTTTGGTTTTTAATAAAATTTTATTTTGACGCACTGTGCAGTCACATTGGTAGAGAATAGTCAGTGACATGCTGAGAAAATACAAAGCAAAATTAAAACAAGATTTCTCTAACCGGTTTGTAGACTTATGCTAAGAACACCTTCTCTCTACATTTATTCCAATGGGAAAATTAGTTCTGGATTACGTAGGGAGTGAATCTTGCCAAGTCTTCACTTAGACATTCCTCACATCACTGCGGTGTATTGTAGTAGGTGGGTTTTGTTGGATCAAACATCTTAACAAAACCTCCATATTAGACGTTCTTGGGAGAAGTGAGGAGATTTGAATATGGGCTTAATCTTAGATGGCTTGTACGGAATTATTGTCAAGTTTCATAAGTGTGACAGCAGTGTCGTGATCAGGTAGGAGTGTGGTTTTGGACGATACACGACGACATATTTAGGTCTGAAGTGTGGTCACGTCTGTAATTTACTTTCAAACGGTTTAGCACAAATAAACACATACGGATAATGCAATCGTGGCAAAATATGAACTGTTGCTGGCTCGGGGCGGGGCGTAACTGCCTGCTCACTGAATTCCTGGAGTTTCTATTTCTTGGAAATTTTCAGTGAGAAAGAAAGAGCTGGCGCACACATGGGCCGGGAGACCGTTCGGACTGTCCCGTGGAAACTCGCGATCGCTGTTCCGCCGCGTCACCCCCGCGCCTGCAAGGGTCGGTCACAAAGGGAGGTGAGGCCGCGGGGGACGGTCGCTCCTTTTTCGGTTCGTGTGAACTTTCATTCACCTCCAGGAGCTAGCCCTGTCGCCTGTTCCTGTCACCGTCACTAGTACGATGAAGACCACAGCACCGAGAGGCTCTGATTTGCTGCCTCGCTCAGCCAGTGAGCGGGAACCGGCCTGCACGTGGGATCCGAACCCTCGGACGGGAGCGCCGCCACGCTTCCCAAGCGGCGCACTATCCAGTGCGCCACCGGGCCGGCCCTTGCCAAGTCTTCACTTAGACATTCCTCACATCACTGCGGTGTATTGTTGTAGGTGGGTTTTGTTGCATCCTGGTTAAAAAGATATACGGATTCAAACATCTTAACAAAACCTCCATATTAGACGTTCTTGGGAGAAGTGAGGAGATTTGAATATGGGCTTAATCTTAGATGGCTTGTACGGAATTATTGTCAAGTTTCATAAGTGTGACAGCAGTGTCGTGATCAGGTAGGAGTGTGGTTTTGGACGATCACGACGACCTATTTAGGTCTGAAGTGTGGTCACGTCTGTAATTTACTTTCAAACGGTTTAGCACAAATAAACACATACGGATAATGCAATCGTGGCAAAATATGAACTGTTGCTGGCTCGGGGCGGGGCGTAACTGCCTGCTCACTGAATTCCTGGAGTTTCTATTTCTTGGAAATTTTCAGTGAGAAAGAAAGAGCTGGCGCACACATGGGCCGGGAGACCGTTCGGACTGTCCCGTGGAAACTCGCGATCGCTGTTCCGCCGCGTCACCCCCGCGCCTGCAAGGGTCGGTCACAAAGGGAGGTGAGGCCGCGGGGGACGGTCGCTCCTTTTTCGGTTCGTGTGAACTTTCATTCACCTCCAGGAGCTAGCCCTGTCGCCTGTTCCTGTCACCGTCACTAGTACGATGAAGACCACAGCACCGAGAGGCTCTGATTTGCGGGGAGCAGCCCTGTCGTTCCCGGGTGTCCTCCTCTGCGAGGGCTGCGTGGCGGGCGTCCTCCGCGTGCCCGGCGCGGGTGCGGTTCTGCGCTCGCAGAGAAGCGCCTGACGCACCCTTGCGCGC